ATATAAAAATAAAAATAATAAAAAATATAATAATAAGCAAGAAAAACAAACAGCAAGAGAAAATCACAAAGTACCGGGACTTGCAAATTGAAGTTGAGCGACTGTGGAAAAAGAAATCATGTGTTGTCCCGATTGTAATTGGACCGCTTGGAGCAATACTCAAAGGGCTACCTCACTATTTGGAGAATTTTAATTTATCAGACTTGAACATTCTGATTCTACAAAAAATCACCCTACTTGGAACAGCAAGAGAAAATCACAAAGTACCGGGACTTGCAAATTGAAGTTGAGCGACTGTGGAAAAAGAAATTCTGTGTTGTCCTGAGCAATACCCAAAGGGCTACCTCACTATTTGGAAAATTTAAATTTATCAGACTTGAACATTCTGATTCTACAAAAAAACACCCTACTTAGAACAGCTTATATGCTCCTACATTACCTTAACAGTTCTAGGTCCTTGGTTTGGACTCGAGCTGTTGAGCTACCAACCAGCCCCAAAGGTTGTGAATCTCACCAAAGATTAACCACATGATAATAATAATAACAATAACAACAACAACAACGATGATGATCAATGATTTAAACTATACATGGTTCCACATTTGTTAATAATTAGAATAAAATAGACAGGGTATAATAAAATATCATATTGGAATCAATATAAAATATTGATGGAAAAAATGAATAGATGGAAGTTTGTTTGTTTGTTTCCTGGGATCATGGGGCCAAACACCAACATAAATATTCACATTACTATTCACTGTTATATAGATAAATAATCAAAATGTTTTGATTTTGCTTTCCTTTCAGTGACCTATGGATCTTATTTTGATCATATTTCTGAATGGAACAAGCATCTGAATGACAGCAATGTATTTTTTATTACCTATGAGGAAATAAAAGAGGTATGTTTTTAAGAGTAAATATTTAGATTTAATTTAATAATAAAATTATGTCTGCTCAAGCACTATACAGTAATGAACAATTGATCAGGAAATAGAAATAGGAAATGTAACTCAGTTTCTGCCTGGTTACTTTTCTCTAAGTAAATATATCAGAAACATTTTCATTTTAAAGCCAATCTCTGGATCAGCTGATCTACCGGCTAATATTTCAATGAAACAATAAAGACTATGTTTTGTTTTGCTTATTTCTTTATTTATTCTAATTTGCACAAGCCCAACCTATAAATATCAAAATAACTGTGTAGTATCCAGATAAAGATATGAATAGAAGGAATGGAAATGTTTCCAGGAAAGCTTTACTTTACTTATGTTATATATTGATGTGTTATTCAGAATCCAGTCTCAGCACTGAAAAAAATAGCCAAATTCTTTGATTTTTCTGTTACTGAAGAGGAGATTGAGAGCATTGTAGAGAAAACAAGTTTTGAAAGCATGAAAAATACCGCGGAAAACTACGGGAAACTAGGAAAGGCACTTTTCCGCAAAGGTAATATTGTAATATTTTTAATAATTTTGTCAATAACACTTAATAGTCTTCTCTAACCTGGTGGCTTAATGGTGAGTGGGATTTCAACTCCCAATAGTGGCTAAGATACTGAGCTTGTCAATAAGAAAGGTCGGCAGCTCAGTGATTCGAATCCCCAGTATAGGTCTCCTGCGTGAGCAGGGGGTTGGACTAGATGACCTCCAAGGTCCCTTCCAACTCTATTACTGTAGATTTCTACTTCAATTAATACTTAAAGGTGTGTTGGCTAGTAATGATAAGGGCTGAAGACCAGCAATGGATTTGGAAAGGCTGATATTCATAATGTGTTTAGGGCATTAGCTGAGGTAGCTTTATTCAAATATTAGGGAATATGATACAGACCTTAACTTACAACAGTTCATTTAGTGACCAAAGTTATAACACTACTGAAAAAAGTGACATGGCCATTTTTCACACTTACAACTATTGCAGTATTCCCACGGTCATGTGATCAAAATTTGGATGCTTGGCAACTGTTTCGTATTTATGATGGTTACAAGGTCCCAGGGTCAGGCCTTTGCAATCTTCTGACAAGCAAAGTCAATGGGGAAGCCAGATTAAGCTAATCACCATGTTACTAATTTAACAACTGCAGCAATTCATTTAACAACTGTGGCAAGGAAGGTCATAAAATGTGGCAAAACTCATTTAACAACTCTCTTGCTTAGCAACAGAACTTTTGGGCTAATCCTTCCATCACCCCCACCATCCTGCCAGAACCGACGAAGCTTCTTGAATGAGAAACAACATATTTTCTTCTTCTTCCTGAAGGGGAAAAAACAGTCCAGCTGCCTTTTGAAAAAGTATCTCTGAGACAACTGTGACTTGGATGACTGAGAATCTCCACAGAGTTTTGAAGAATAGCTATTCTTTGGGAGAAAGACTTTCTCTGCACTTCTCATCTCCCACCTACCACTCTAATTCTTCTTTTCTTTCTTTTTCTTTTCTTTTTTAGGCATAGTAGGTGACTGGACATCTGTCTTCTCAGAAAGCCAGAATGAAAAAATGGACAGAAAATTTGAGGAGACTGTAGCAAAAACTCAGCTTGGCATGAAGTTGAAATATGAGCTGTACTGCAAAAACTGAAGAGATCATCAGTGCTGCAAATATCTCATGTTCTGATTCTCTGCGTTAAGTCATTCAAAAAGAATTGGTAGTGCCTTCCTCAGTCTCCAGATGTGCTAGATGTCATTTCTGATACCCGTAATCCCAACACAGCTATGGTTGGGTTATATGATGAGTCAAAGATTATAGGAGCTGAAGTCCAACAATCTGAAAAAAGCTGCTTTCAATACACCATTCGCTCTTTTCTCCTCTTATGGATATTGACATATTTTTACATTGCATACTTATTTTTAAGTGGAAGAACTCTTCCAGAATTAATTTAAAAAAATCTATACTTGCCTGTAAGAATGTACTCCCTTGCTCTATGCAAGATTGGTTGAGAAAGCAAGGAAATGATGTTGTGAATAGGTGGTAGTAGTAGTAGTAGTAACTGTGAGAAGGATTTTGGAGTCCTGGTGGATTTAAATATGAGCCAGCAATGTGCAGCAGCTGCCAAAACAGCCAATGCAGTTCTAGGCTGCACAAACAGAGGGATAGAATCAAGATCACGTGAAGTGTTAATACCACTTTATAATTCCTTGGTAAGGCCACACTTGGAATACTGCATTCAGTTTTTGTCGCCACGATGTAAAAAAGATGTTGAGACTCTAAAAGTTGTTCTTCTAGAGAAGAACAACAAAGATGATTAGGGGGCTGTAGACTAAGTCATATGGAGAATGGTTGCAGGAACAGGGTATGTCTAGTTTAATGAAAAGAAGAACTAGGGCTGACACAATAGCAGCGTCCCAATATTTGAGGGGCTGCCACAAAGAAGAGGGAGTCAAGCTATTCTCCAAAACACCTGAAGGCAGGACAAATAGCAATGGAGGGAAACTAATCAAGGAGGAACGTAGAAATAAGGAGAAACTTCCTGGCAGTTAGAACAATTAATCAGTGGAATGGCTTGCCCTCAGAAGTTATGGGTGCTTTTTAAAAAGAGATTGGACAACTATTTGTCTGAAATGGTAGGGTCTCCTGCTTGAGCAGAATGTTGGACTAGAATACCTTAAAGGTCCCTTAAACTCTGTTATTCTCTTAATGATGACATGTGGTGAGCTAGGATAGGGGTGGTTCTCAGCCCTGGTTCTGTTTGATTTTAACATGCAATACATTGATGACAATATCTTTTTGGACCAGCTTTGGGGGTTAGTAGTAAGAGATTTTCAGATTTGTTAAAAATCACTCAGCCCATGCTTTCTAAATGGAACCCTACAGTATCACAAGTCCAGTGAAGTTTTAAACTTGGTTACTCATTTACAGGGACATGGGGAAATTATTATTAGAAAATGAAGCACCAATTTGGAAGGAAGTTAGTGTTTCACAATTATAGAGAAACAAGAGGGTGATGTGGAAAGATAACAAAGAATGAGGAGAATGGTTATGTTTCAGGCAAATGGTAAAGTATACTAATTAATGGGAAGGTGTTAAACACACCTTTGTGGCTAGACATGTCCAGATGTTTTTTTTTCTCCATTTAATCATGTCCAATTCTTGGAGTTTGGTTGGACAAGTCTCTGCAGTTTTCTTGACCATGATTTCCAGAAGTGGTTTGCCACGGTCTCCTACTTAAGGCTGAGAGAAAGTGACTGACCCAACCCTGATGCCTAAACCATTACACTCAGTGGTGGTTTTCCAAATTTTTTACTACCAGTTCTCTCTCTCTCTTGCTCTCTCTCTCTCTCCCTCCCTCCCTCTCTCTCTCTCTCTCTCTCGTGTGCTGCTTCTGTGCATTCATAGAAGCTTCTGTGCATACGCAGAAGCATCCAGGCGGGTGGGCGGAGCCTCCCACCGCCACTATTACCAGTTCGCCCAATCCAGGCTGAACCAGGATCAACCCACCTCTGATTACACTAAACAGGCTCTTCAGGTATTTAAAACAGTGTTTCACACTTGGAAAAGGACCAACACTATTGCTTACATGCCTAATAAACTCTGAATTACACCCTCTGGTATTTGACTTGAACAAGCAATGAACCGAAGGGAAGACATTCCTCCTATAGAGGGAAAGGGTATTTTCTTCTTTTATTCTTCGCAGAACTTTTGTAACTTTGAAGTCATGAATGTCATGTTGTAGTTGAAGAAAAAACATAAGTCTGAATCATTTCGCCTCAGGCTTGTACAATTGTTTTCTTATTCATTTCTTTATTCAATTTATATACCCACCCATATCACTTTTATGTGTTTGTTAGGCAGCTTATAATAAAACAAATAAAATACACAAAAAACACAATGCAAAACACAAAAAATAAAAACACGCAGCAGCCAAGCATAATCTAATACATGTTCCATACAGCCATGACATTGGATCTTTGCTTAAAATAATAAACTGTATGAATATCTTCAATACTGTAATTCTGAAAATGTCAATTACACATTTTCCAAATCAATCCATGCAATGTATGAAAATGCATTAAAAAGTTGGTAAAATTCATTTTCTTACTCTTTGTGTAGTATGGAAAAATGACTTTATCAGGTTATTTAAAGGCGAAACACTGGTATGTTGATAAATTATGTATTCTATGGGTATACTCCCAACAGAATTACATATACCACATATCTATCTTATATCTGGATAACTAGATGCAGTAGACCACTATACGTATATACCTTGACCAACAGATCTCAGTGGAAGGTGATTCAATAAAAGAAATTAAATGGTGTGTTAAATGTGATTGACAGGCATTTGGCAAGCTAAGCATAATTTTCAAGAAGAATTTCCTCCTTTGCCTGAATAGGTTTCAATCAGTGAGTACTACTTGCTCTAACATATGTTGGTGAAACATGGACACTAACCTCAACACAAAAGCTAAGAGTAGCTCAAAGAGCCATGGAAAGACACATGCATGGCATTTACAAGACAAGATAGAAAGACCTGCAGATGGATTAGGAACAAACGAAAGTATACAATATCATTAAGAGAATAAAAAAATTGCAATGGAAACAGGCTGGTCACATAGCAATAAGAACTGTTCGCAGGTGAACCAAGCCATCATACAATGGATCCCTCTTGATAAAAAGCATCCACAAATAAGATGGGTTGATGACAACAGCAAGTATTGAGGGCCCAATTCAGAGATGGTATTCAGCAGGTTCTGACCTGTTCTGGAGAACCAGTAGCAGAAATTTTGAGTAGTTTGGAGAACCGGTAAATACCACCTCTAACTCCATCAGCCAAAGCTTTCTAGGCAACAGTACTGGAGCATACTCATTCTTCCAGATCAGGTAGAACAGATAGAAACACACAGACACAAAATAGAATTTTTATATATGTATGAAGAATTCTTCCAGAATTAATATAAACCTAGACTTACCTATCAGATGAAGGCATTTACTCTTTTATTCTGTTTAAAATTTGTTGAGCTATTGTTGAAAGACTAAAATGACTAAGAGGCTTTCATTATCCCCATAAAAAAAATTCCTTATAAATTTTTGTTTGCTTTAATACACCTCAAAATCCAAAATCCACGAGAGATAGCTCCTTGGTTCAAAACTTATACCAAATGTCTTTCTGTAACTATCACTAACACAAAGAAACTGTATGGTTAGGGCTTGTTCGCAGAGGAGGTGAAGGTGAAAAGAGTATTGCACTTTCATGACAAAAATCCCAGTTCTGGAGAACCAGTAACAGAAATTTTGAGTAGTTTGGAGAACCGGTAAATACCACCTCTGACTCCATCAGCCAAAGCTTTCTAGGCAACACTGGAGTACTGGAGCATACTCATTCTTCCAGATCAGGTAGGACAGATAGAAACACACAGACACAAAATACAATTTTTATATATGTATGTCACCATCAATGTGTGAAATTAGGCATTTTATAAAATGCTTAAGAAATCCATAGAATACCCCCCCAAAAATCACATATTTATTAATTATTGTAATTATGATTTATGATCCATATCCTATTACATGCTGTTTATATGTACACTGTGAGCTTATGCAGCTTATGCCATTCCATTCTATTTCCAAAACATTTTATGCAGTGGTGGGTTGCTCCTGGTTCGGCCAGGTTCAGCCGAACTGGTAGTAAAAATATTTGCAACCCACCACTGATTTTATACAATACCAAAAAGCAAACTGTATGAAGTATAAAATACTCACGCTAAAATGCCATTCTGGCCTTCCCTGTTGAAGCAAATAGGTAATTACTGATGGGGTTTTTTTTCCTCAGTAAGAAACCCCTGTACTTTATTTTGCATTTCTTCTTTCATTTTCATATAGGCCTTTTCAATAAAGAGTTAGGCTTAGGCTTAACCCTAGCCCTTTGCATGACTCTCTTTTCATCCTTTGCCTAAATAGTTCTTGTCATTCTGCACAATGCCTAGGTATTATACACAATGCCAAGGGAGCGTATATAGCATTTTAAAATAACACAGATATTTCATACTTTGCCAAAAAATGTCACACATTTTATAGATTTCCTAGGCTTTCGACACAAGGCCAGTTTTTCACACCTGGCTGGTATCTTATATAATTTATTCAATTTTAATATTTCTTCAAGCCTTTCAAAGTCATTATAAACAACCAGTACTAACTTGCCAAACTTTGATTCAACTTTGCAGCAAACTCAATGATAACAAAAATGGGCGGGTTATGGCAGTGGCACTTGGACTAAGAAAAGATAGTCCTTGATTTACAACAGTTTGTTTAGTAACCATTCAAAGTTACAATTGCATTGAAAAAATGTGACTTATGACCGTTTTTAATATTTATGACCATTGTAGCATCCCCATAGTCACGTGATCAAAATTTGGATGCTTGACAACTGATTCATACTAATAATGGTTGCAGGGATCACCTTTTACAACTTTTTGATAAGCAAAGTCAACAAGGAAGCCAGATTCACTTACCACTTACTATCTTAACTATGATTTCACTTAACAAATCTGGCAAGAAAGGTTGTAAAATGGGGCAAAACTCACTTAACAAACGTCTCACTTAGCAACAGAAATTTTGGGCTCAATGAGGATTGTAAGTTGAGGACCACCTGTATTCTAGCTTTGCAACGGCTAATTACTGCCACCTCCTTTTCTCTGAGAAAGTGTTGCTCTAGGATTTCTAGCACGCTGACCACTGTCCAGCCAGCGTTTCATGAACTCAGGAACTCTATCTCCATTTTCAGGAGGTTGCCTCAGATTAGTTATCCCTTTAAGAATATCTCTAACACTTTATCTACTCAATCCAAGTTGGCGACAACTTCATTAGAAAATGTTTTGTAGGAGAAAGTGTTACATGAACTTTGTTCATAGATTTACTTCATGTTAGTTAATTAATAACCTGATCTGTTCTTTGAGCATGCTTCTTAATTTACAAAGCCAGTTGAATCTCTGGGCTACCCATCTGTGGTCTTAGAATAGCACAATCATGGATCATCAAGAAGTAAGCAAGATTCTGGATGAAGCATTGGAAGAAAATGAAAAGAAGGTTCTTTCGGAACGGACATTTATGTATGATGGCGTGTTATATCCCACTATGATCTGTTCTCTGGAAACCCTGAAAAGTATTCATACTTTTAGAGCTCGGGAAGATGATATCATACTAGCGGCATACCCCAAAACAGGTAAACATTATAGTTTTTCAAGTAATGCTTTTGCATATATGTAGCCATGTTTAATTGTTTCTTTAGAGTTTACACCAGACTTCTTCTTAAATAAAAAAAAACTTGCCAATTCAAAAGTGTTAGACATTTTATTGTGATGCATTTAATAGTTTGTCTTAATGAAATTCCTCAATGATTACTATGTCTAAGATGGCATTCTTGATTTTCCTGTGTATTTTAAGAAATAATTCATGATATTGTCATTTCTGCTGAAAACGATGTTGGCATTTCTGCTTCAAATAATCAACTATATGAACAATACTGTAATTCTGAAAATGTAATTTTCTAAATCAACCCATATGCAATGTATGAAAATACATTTTAAAAAGTTAGTAAATCAATTTTATTGTTTGTGTAGCATTGAAAAATGACTTTACCAGGATCTGGACAGTGGTGTGTTGATAAATTCTGTTTTCTGTGGATATACCCCAAAAGAATTGCATACAGCACATATCTAGTGCTTTATCTATTCAAGGTTGCAAGGATTTTGATTTTGAGAATGAATATTTCATGCAATGTAGATTATAATACAGCTCTTATGTTTTCTATGTTTCTATATTCTTATATTCTATATGTGCAGTACTGCAGGCTACTTCTGCTGATCACAGCTGCCAGAAATTTGGCAGATCGAATCTCACCAGGCTCAAGGTTAACTCAGCTTTTTATCCAGGGGTGGTTTTCAGCTGGTATGCACTGGTAACCGTTCGTGAAATTTAGCATGTCTTCCCATACCCATTCTTCTCGTGGCCCCATACCAGAACGCTCCCTCCCCTGGCCTGCCACCTTGCTCTCTCCCCCCACCTGTCCAGTTGCCGCTCACTTGCTGGCCTGTCCGCACCAGGCTTGCCCCACCTACCCACTTCTTTTGTCGGAGCAGAGGATTGGGAAAAGCCCACTTTGTCTGCACTCCTTCTCTTTGACAGTCGCCTGATTTCCAATTGTGTGTGTGTGGGGGGGGGAAATCCATGCAGAGGGAGGGAAAACATGGATTTCTCCCCCCCCCCCTTGGAAAC